AGCCAGTTGAGTCTAGTGAGTCCTCAGAATCAAATGTGCTGGTTATGAAATTTTAAGGCACCAACTTCTGAGTTTTATTTGAAATCAAAGATGCCCAGGCAATTGTTTAAAGTTCCAACCATATTTCTTTTGGTCCTTTCCCCTTCCTTTTGCAAACAAAGGCTTGACTGAAGGAACTTATTTTGAGATAATGAAGGAAGTACCATGATATCTTAGAAATCTTGCTCCTGAATTCCTGAATCAATATAGAGGCACCAGTAATCAAAATTTCCTGACAACAAGATATGAGATAAAATATTTTCAAACTGATACTCCAGGGATGGAGTGAACAGACCCAAAATAAGGCCATGATATATTGTAATTTGCTAAATAAAGGATGCTGTTCTAAGTCCCAAATTTGGTAGTCAAAGGAAAAAAAAGGCCACATAATTACATAATTACAATATCCCCATATAAAGTAAAAACCAAACAATGTGCTCAATGGGAAATGAAAAAAATTTGATACTGAGTTGGAGGAAACATTTCTCATCAGTGTTTGGTGAAAAATAGACAAGATATGATATGATATATTATAGAACTTTCTCACTATTAACAATAATTATAACCTTTCCTTCATATTTTTTATAATATCTCTACTTAATAATGTCATAATGCCACATAACTAAAAACAATTCTACAAAATGATAAGGTAGAGCCAGGCATGGTGGTACATGCATGCAATTCCAGCTATGCAGGAGGCAGAGCTGGGGAAATAAGAGTTTGAGGACAGCCAAAGATAAGCAGATAACAAGACCCTATCTCAAAAACAAGGTGAGTGTGGTGGTTCATGCTTTTAATCCCATCTGTGTAGAGACAGAGGAATGAATGAATTAAAAAATCTAGAGCACTTAACAGTATTAATTTATTTTAATTTATTTTAACTTATTAATTTAATTTATTTTAAATTATTAATTTAATTTATTTTAATTTATTAATTTATTTTAACTATTAAGTGTACAAGGAAAACAGTAGACTGTTGAAAAAGGAAGATAAACTAAGATGGGGAAAAATTATAGAGCCAGAATTCTATATGAGGTCTATTAGTATCTTAAATTCTGCTGTAAAACAATGGAATTGGACTATGAGCACATGATAAAAGCGAGAGCACACAAGGGAGGGGTGAGGATAGGTAAGACACCTAAAAAATTAGCTAGCATTTGTTGCCCTTAACGCAGAGAAACTAAAGCAGATACCTTAAAAGCAACTGAGGTCAACAGGAAAAGGGGAACAGGAACTAGAGAAAAGGTTAGATCAAAAAGAATTAACCTAGAAGGTAACACACACGCACAGGAAATCAATGTGAGTCAACTCCCTGTATAGCTATCAATCTTGAATTACAAAAGAATCACTCTTACAGAAGTAACTATTACAGAAACTTGGGCAACTCCTGTGCTATATGAGTCCTTGAGTGCTGGGCCATCGTGTATGTGTGTGTGTGTGTGTGTGTGTGTGTGTGTGTGTGTGTGTGTGTATGGATAAAAAAATTCTTATTTATTTATTTACAGCAGTACTAGGGTTTGAACTCAGAACCTCATGCTTGCTAGGCAGTCACTCTACCATTTGATTCATGCACCAATCCCCAGTCCTTTTGCTTTAGCTATTTTTAAGGTAGGCTATCATATTTTGGCCCAGACTAGTATGGACTGTGATCCACTTTTTACAGCTTCCACACAGCCAGGATGAGAGAAATGGAACACAAAGCCCAGATTGTTTAGGTTAATATGGCATCTCACTAACCTTGCCCAGGCAAGCCTCAAACCACAGTCTCCCCAGTCTCTGCCTCCTGAGCAGCTTGGGTTACGGAAATGAGCTACTGTGACTGGCGTAAGATTCTAAAGGGAGGAACCATCACACTTTCTAGGAAGTCATCTTTTTTTTTCATTTAGGTCCTCAAGATACAATTTTATATAATGTATGTAATAAAGGAGCTAAGGGTAAATAAAACTGTGAGCAGATATCCAGAGTAGGTGCCTTTGCTAGTGATAATGTTGTAAAAATGTTCAGTGGTGTCTGATAAGCAACTAAGGCAGGAGAAAAATAAGCAACAGACTTCTGTGGATGTGAGAAATAATCTACCTTTCAATCAAGGTCTGTTTTACATTAAAGAGTTGAGACAAATAAAAATATAGGGTAGTTTGAAATAATTCACCTATATTGAAAATGAGATATTAAAATCCATTAGGACACTTACCTTTGAACATACCTCACATAGTCTAGGAAAGAAATAATTATCATCAGAAATGATCCAGGATTTGTTTCCTGAAAGATCATACTAATTTTACATTTACTTTTAGAATTTCTTAAATCCACAGCTTTAGGTACAGGGCATTGCAGATCTGACAAGCCAGGAACAACTAATAAAAGGGCTATTGCTTGGATAAAGGTATACCTGCAGATCTCCTGGTCATGCTTGACTACATTGCTGCCTACTAGTCTACCCAAACTTTGGTTGATTATCTATGAGAAAATATTGGTTCACAAGAAGCTCCTTAATATTGGGAAAATAGGAAATTGATTGAGGGGCCAGTAGAAGGTTTAAAGATTATTTTTTCTAAGGCTGGCTGTGAGTTACAATCTATTTAGATATGCAAAACAAAGTATGTCCATATTTAGAGAAGGATGGTGGATTTTACATAATACTTAAAACAATGGAGTAAGAGTGAAAATTTGGAGTTTAAAGACTGTAATCCCTGCTTTGGAGATGAAGGATTAGAGAAAAAAAAATCAGCCTAAACTGCACTCTATATCAAGATTTTTTTTTCCAGATAGGAAGGTAAGTGAAGTCAGAAGAAGGAGTGAATGCCAAGAGCAAATATCTATTTCTAAAAAAGTTGCTGTCACTACTCAAAACATTTCCTTTAAAAGCAACTTGGGTCACATAGTATCTATTTTTCGGTTTTTGAGGAGTTATCAGTATCCATCAACATATGAATGGATAAAGAAAGTGAATTATTCTTCAGTCACCAAGTAGAATAAAGTTATGTTGTCTGCAGGAAAATGTATGGAATTAGAGATGATCATGTTAACCAAAATAAGCCAGACTGAGAGACAAATTTCATATTTTCTCTCATATGCAAAAATCTAGTAAAAATTGACATGAACATAAAAGAACTACTGGGGAGGAACCAATGAGAGGGAGGAGAGGAAAAGAGGGTGATGGAGAAATGAATATGATTTAAGTATATTGTATGCACATACAAAAATGTCATGATGAAACCCATCCTAAAAACTTGTAAATAAAAAGAGGGTGAGGGGAAGATGAGAGAGTAAAGACAGGGTGATTATGATCAAAGTATATCATATACATGCCCGGACATATCGTAATGAAATCCCTCACTTTGAACAATTAATATACACTAATAAAAAAGAAACTTGGAAACCATTAATGAAAATTATCATTACTTTGTTACCTTAATTATTATTCTTTAACTAATTCTTATTCTTTGATAGATTTCTTACTTCTAATTAATTTTAATGAAAGTGAGCTTATAAATAGTATCAAATATTAAATGTATCACTATTTCCAAGATATTATATATAAAAGTACACACATGTACTTCATATATATATAAATATATATATGAAAATATCATAATGAAACACACTTAAAACTGTTAAAAGGGGGGAGGAGTTCAGGAATTAAGAAGTAATATAAATATGGCAAATTTGATCAAATTATATTCCATGTATGTATGTAAATATAATAATGAAACTCCTTTGTACAATTAATTTATGCTAATAAAGAATTTTTAAAGATATCATAGTATATGATTTTCACCTATCAAAAATGTTAATTGTGGGGATAAGTTTAATACAACCATGTGTTCTATGAAGATAACATTTTAAAAAGATTAATTTTATATAACAAATCTGAAGTCCACTTCTCTTGGAAGTAAAAAATTAAGAGTTAACACTGGGAAGATATTTCCTCATAGTATTAGTAAAAGCTGAATAGAACTGACCTCTTTAGCAAAAAAGATGGCTCCCACTTAAGCCTCTGCTTACACACTGTACATATATACCCTGACATCAGGATGATCAAAATCACTGTGCAAAGACAGTTGGCATAAAATTAATTTCTCTTTTTTTCCAGTGCTGAGGATTGAACTTAGGACTCTTGTGTGCTAAGCAAGTACTCTATCACTGATCTGCATACCCAGCCCTATCTTGGCAGAGGTTTCTATGTCAGCTTTGGTTCAGAGAAAGAAGAAGAAGAGCAGAACCAGTGTACGTAAAACACATTTGTGCATGTGTGAAAAATAAACGCTTATTGTAATCCACAGTGGTAGTAACTACTTTTTAAACTCTATGTTTTAGCTCATCTGCATCCACACTGATACATATTTAAATTATCTCTTTGTGTCAGTAAGCAACAGTTTTTGACCCATGCTTTTCCTGTAAGTTCTCCTCTAACTTTTAGAACGTGAAAATTGAAGAATTTATTCAGAGACAATGAAATCAGTCCCTCTTTAAATGTCTGAATTCAAAGTCTACACATACTTTAATCTCCTGTACTCTAAAAAGAGTGAAGCTTTGAACAATACCATCTTTGTCATTAATTCTGTGTAACAGTATAACCAATTAAAATGCTGAAATTTATAGATTTCTCAAATACCTAATCAAAATGCATATTAAACCCTACTTGGTATCTTACTTTTAGGTGGAAGTTGCTAAAATGAAAAAAATAATTTTTGACAGATTTTTCTAGAAATCATATAATATATATATATTAATATATAATTCTAGAGTGTTTAGATTTAGTTCACAAACATAGTGTTTATAACACCTTAAAAGAATTTTAAGTCACATTTATTGTCTTGCATACAATAGCAGACACATTTATTAATATTTAAAAAATCCCCAAACAGCATAATAAATTTGGCTTTTCTTCCCCACAAAAATGGGAAATATATTTCAAGGAAATATATTTCAATATTTCAAATAATATTTCAAGGAAAATTTTAATTATTTTTACACACCAGTTGGTTGTTGTGGTTAATAGTTTTTAAAAATATGATATCAGCAAAAATAATTAACATTAATTGATTAGTACATAAAACAATTTACAATAGTATGGTAAGCAAGAAACAAAAACTTATCAGAAAACACCATTTAAAGTAGTTTTCAAATAAACTATTACAGTATAGTTTACTCCTAAGAACACAAAGCCCACAAATAGAGCACTTCTGTACATACAAATACATAACAAAATAATACAATACTTAGCACAGTAACAACAAATTAAAAGTTGTCATAATGGATGGAACTTAAATACCCCCTTCCCCCCGTTGGCATAGTGGTTTCTTATTCCTTAAACATAGAAACTCTGCTCTTCATGGTAGAGAGATGAAATCTTCTATCAAAAGGCACATTCTTATCTGTAAGAAAAAATACATAAATGACACTGTATAATACTTTAAACATACTTTAAAAAAATTCAGAATGATTTGCAGAGGAATATTATAAAGTTTATTCTAAAGAAATTATAATGAGGGATACTAATACATGATTACTTTGTTGTTAATAACTATTTTAGATATTTTTTGAATGAGAATTTTAATTTTTCAAAGGAATTTTATATGCAACTGCTATAGGTAAGTAAAGACAATATTATAGTCACAATAAAGTTGTATCATATAATGTTAATAAACGATTTTGACTTAACTATGCAATATAATTGCTTCTTTAGTTTCTGTAAATACAATTCTTTGACTGATCGTGTTCTAAGACTTCAGAACTAAGAATTAATTGGGTAAGCCTGAAAATATAGTCAATGAAAAACATACTCTGAGTATTTGAAGTATGCTAACAAAAATTATTGATACAAAGACAGGTTTTCAAAAAACACACTGGGGAAAGTTTGCCCATTTTTCTCTTATTGGAAAGTTTATGGTGATATGAAGTTATATTTTTATATGCTTTAATTCAAATTATACAATTTACACTATTAATCCAAATGCAGGCTTTTAAGAAGCTAATAAAAGGCATCGCAAGTAAAACCATTTAGACAAACCAATGAACAGCCAAAGGTGTATAAATTTTACTAAATTGATCAATCTTCCTTTGTAATCATCTAACATTCAGAACTTCATTGGAGATACATCTGAGAATTAGTAAAGGCCATTTTTTTTTTTTTTTTGGTGGTACTGGAGTTAAAACTCAGGGCTCACACTTGCAAGGCAGGCACTCTACCACTTGAGCCATTCCGCCAGCCCAGTAAAGGTCATTTTATAAGAATGTTTAGTCAGCTCTTTATAATAGGTCTCTAAATAATTAGTATAGGCTATTGAATTTCTAACGTGTTTTTGAGAGTAAAATTAAAACTTTTCAAAAATGTACTGAAGGTCATTTAAATAAACAATGTAGCAGAATTCATTTTACACAATTCTTATATTTTATTGTTTGAAAATCATAATCATTTTGATAATGAATTATTAAATCAATCTGTAAAATAAAAATTGTAGGTTCATATAGTAATAAAATAATAAAAAATTAATATAACCTAATCAAATCTATCACTAGGCTTTTGAACTTGGACCACTTCTGAGTACTCAAGGAACACGTACAAAATGGGAACATAAGGTGTTTTCTGATAGAGAAGTACCTGGCACAAAGAAACCTCTTAATATGTAGCCTCAGAAATGCATTTTAACAAATATAATTAACCCCAAAACAAATGTAAATATAACCGTCTATTGTGATCTATCATATTATATCATACCAACATTTTCCTGAAACTGTATTTTACAAGACTGTATGACCACCTCTTCCACTTAGAATACTGCATTCCTTGAGTTGGGATTACCTGAGAATTCCATCCTGGTCATTTTCACCAAGTAGCTATTATGTGTTATGTGTAGTAGCTACTCCCCAATTCCTCTCTCACAGTTTGATCTAAATTATAGACCAAACCTAATACTAAAGGAGACATTCTTTACATTCCCCATAGAAAAAATTTCTAGAATCAAGATTCAAGAATCAAACCCATAAACCTTCCAGCCTTAAATCGGCTCTTCTTCTGTAACCCCTTAACTACAATAATGACAATGTCATCTAGTTAGTCACATTTCCCAAGACAGGAGGGAGCTTATCTGTGATTATCTGTTGTATATTAAGTATTGTCAAGCACTATTATCTTGTCAAAATTTTCTACTTTTTTCCACTCCTAACCTATCTTCTGCCCCTATTTTGACACCATTCACTTGAACAACTAAAATAACCTCAAATTACTGGACCTCAGTATTTTCCAAACTTTAATTTATGTTTTCACTATAACCATCTTCTAAGGCATAAACAGGATAGTATCACCTCATTCAAAAGCATTTGATGACCTATAAGCACTGTCAGCAGAAAAAAAATCTAAATCCTTGGTAGCTTTTTAACATGACCATGCCTCAACTCTGACAGACTTTCCAAGATGCCACCAAGTATGCTGATTTAATATAGAGAATCAAAACATGTACACATTCTCAAATAGAGAATGCTTAAAACTCCCCTTGATGTGCAACTTTTTCCTCTATCACAAACTCTTATTTGTTTATCTTACATATTTGTATATGTGTGTGTGTGTGTGTGTGTGTCACTGGGATTTGAACTCAGGGCCTCACGCTTGCAGGTGCTCTTACCACTTGAGCCACTCCACCAGCCCTTTTTCTGGGATGGGTTTTTTTGTAATAGAGTCTCCGAAACTATTTGCCCCAGCGCTGGCTCTGAACCACAGTCCTCCTGACTTCTGTCTCCTGAGTAGCTAGGATTACTGGCATAAGCCATCCTGCTCAGCTATCTTACATATTTTTAAAAAAATAACTGGGATGCAAATATCACTTGTGTGATCTTCTAAGCTGATACACCTAACACAGTTCTGTTTTTCAGGAATCCCACAACAGTTTTAAAAAAATGTGAAGTATTAGTGTCACATAAGAAAAATAACCAGGAGTTACTACTGCCTGGAGAGGAGATAGAGAAGTTGCAAAAGGCAGGCTGATTGACTCAAAGAATCCTAGAGATAAAACCAGGAGTACACATAATCATCTGCATAGGTGTGTGGACAGAAAGTCATTTTTGCAAAATGGCAGTTAAAGTTAGTGCTTCTAACATAAAGCAGGAAAATCTATGCCTCAGATGTAACCAGTGAAGACAGAGAACTGAAAGTTTACCCTCTCTTATGAATGGTGCTGCACTTCACAGTTCATAAGAAAAATACAATTCTCAAGTTTTAGCATTTCTTAACTTGGGATGCATCTTTTAACTTATAGATGCTAGACAGAAGTTTGTTCTTAGGTAGCTGACGTTGTCTATATGTACACAAAACTGCTGCTGACACTTCAACTGAATCATATGGTTAATATCATAAGGGATGAGTTTAATGATTTTAAAATATCTTTAACGATTATAATATGAGTCACCAATGAAGCAAAAGTTATTGTATATGTTCAAAGAATGATAGAATAACCAAAAATTTGATTTAAGAAAAACAAATATTTGTCCCTAGAACAATGGTATTAATTCCATACATTATTCATAATTCATTTGGCAGCTATTTTGTTCTTACATAATGGTCAATTTAAAATTGATATTGTCTTCAATTAAAGAAATAATGATGTAAGTCTCCACAGAACTAATTTGAATTGAAGAGAAAGGAGCAAAACCAAGATAGAATCTTTTATTTATAGTGTTTAAATCCTGAATTGATAAAGTTACTGCTGAAAATAACTGAACTAGCAGAAATTAGTAAGCTGAAGTTGTTCAATATTAGAATGGAAAATGAAAAAAATTAAGAGTATTTCGTTTTTGCTAAACCACATCCTGTGGTGGGGAAACGTACAACCAATATGACAAATCCATTTCAAATGCATATTCTTATGTGAAAATTAATATAGATAAGCACACTTAATGTCTTGATGACTTCCAAAGTATTTAAAAACAGGTAAGCAGTATATGGGGCTATGTGAGCTCCAGTGTTTAATAGTTAAAGCATGAAAAAATATCTCCATTCATTGAATCAGTTAACATGCATTGGTTTTTACTTTTAATTGTACTAAATATTACTTGATATTGGAGAAATGCTCATGATCAATAAATAATTAAAAGAAAAGGAAAAGTTCCTATAATTAATGTTTAACAGAGCTGTATTTGTAAAATAATGATTATAGTTGGAAATCCCTCACAGGACAAAGAAACCTGTCCTAGAAGGGAAGGAAGTCTCAGTTCTAGTAGCATTTTTGCAGTTATTTGCTGGATATTCTAAAGTATTTTTTTTAAATGACAAAACAAATAGTATCCAAGGTAAGATTAAGGACTATTTTTATGATAGACTTCGAGGTGGAAGCAGGCAGAATCCAAAAACTCTAAAAGAATTTAGAGACACAGTTCAACTACATTATATGGCAGGTGTCTTGGTAAAGAGAAAGATTCAAGATTTAAGAGATTAGTGGACAAGATCATTCAGTCTAATCAGCAATGGGAGGTCAAGAAGCACTTAGATATTTATATCATATTTTACAACATTTTTTACACATTGAGGGTTAGGTGATTGAAATCTATAGATTAGATGAGATGTCCATGATCATTTTTCTACTATTTAAAGAATTCACAATACAAAATCAAACAAACAAGTAATAACAAAAACCCAGCTACTCTGGTTATAACAATGGATAACTCCCTGCTCTAAAATCAAAACAGAAAACAAAACAAAACAAAACCAAAGAGATGAAAACAAATGACCAACATACATTACTGGTACTGGTATAAACTAGACTCTATCTTGTATTGCTGTTGCCCTAGATCTCTCTAACTAGAACAATTTCCTCATACAGTAAACCCTAAATCACAAATATTTCTCTCATTAGTTCTCAAATTTAACCTTTAAAAAAATCTTGAACCTGATGGATTCTCTGCTGAATTCTATCAGACCTTTAAAGAAGAACTGATACCAACCCTCCTTAAACTGTTCCATGAAATAGAAAGGGAAGGAAAACTGCCAAACACATTTTATGAAGCCAGTATTACACTTATCCCAAAATCAGGCAAAGACACCTCCAAAAAGGAGAACTATAGGCCAATCTCCTTAATGAACATTGATGCAAAAATCCTCAACAAAATAATGGCAAATCGAATTCGAATTCAGCAACACATCAAAAAGATTATTCACCACGACCAGGTAGGCTTCATCCCAGGGATGCAGGGGTGGTTCAACATACGAAAATCAATAAACATAATAAACCACATTAACAGAAGCAAAGACAAAATCCACTTCATCATCTCAATAGATGCAGAAAAAGCCTTTGATAAGATCCAACATCATTTCATGATAAAAGCTCTAAGAAAACTAGGACTAGAAGCAAAGTTCCTCAACATTATAAAAGCTATATATGACAAA